TTATGTAGGCAAGCAGCTTCCTCAATTACATCTTTTTTTATCTATAACTATCACCTCAGACCAAACTACCATTATCTTTCACAGTTACAGTCTCCTAAAGTTTCTTCCTTTACAACGTGTGTGTGTGTGTGTGTGTGTGTACATATTTGATTTGGACATGAAATTCATTCTGTCCAATTTCATTCTCGCTTATTGCAATCTAGCCAGAGATGTCTTCAGTTCTTCAAACAAACCGAGGTCTTTCTTGCTTCAGGGTCTTTACATGTGCTGATACTTCTGGCTAGTAGGGTCCTTTCATGCCTTGTCCTTTCCCGTTTTTCCAATTTCAGTTTAAATGATGCCCACTTAAAAAGTAATTTTCTCTCCCTGCAACTTCTTGGTTCTCCTCTACCTAGTTGCTTTAATATTTATTTCAACCCAATTTTCAAATTTTTAAATTATATTATTTATTCATTCTACCCTTTTTATAATCTATCTTCCTCATTAAGCTTCATAAGAACACTTTTTTATCCTTTCATATTTTCCCCAGATCATATTACAATGATTAGCATCTTGTAGACGCATAATATTGCTCAATAAATAAGTGGACGATTTTTTATCCAAAGAAGTGAGCATGTATGCCGTGCATGAGTAAAACACCTGTTTCCATGGTAATAGCTAAGAAATTAAGTCTTAAAATATTTGTCATTACTGATTGAAATGAATTAGAAACAATTTTCAAATTTCATGAATATCTTTTATGTGCCGAATATTGTCCAGATATGTATCACATGGGTGAAAAAATATATACATATACATATATTGTACTGTTATATCCCAACAATAAACACACTTTATATTGTACAGTGCTGTCCAGAGATAAAAAATATGATATTTGAGAAGGTAAACCAAAGGATTTTTTTCTTGGTTTGGTTTCTTTTTATGAAACCCAGATATAATTACTTGACACTAAACAACTGATCTCAGCTAGGTATGGATGGTGATGAAGCCCAAATTATACTTCATTAGATTTATTTATGGTAAAAGTGGAAGCTCTTTCTTGGAGGAAAAATAGGCCTCAAGCTGTCTGTCACCTAATTAACTTTCAAACATTGAATATTCTCTGAGACTAAACAAGAGCCCTTGACTCACACATAGAAAGACAGTCTTCGGTTTAGCCCCTACCGATGACTAACTTGATGCAAGTCAACCTAATTCTATATATGGTAAGCAAGATAAGAGTATCTGAAATAAAACCCTAGCAAATCCTGTTCAGGAGATGAGATGTAGAACAGAACTTTGAAAGGCCCTCCATTCATGTTTGGTTCTGAGAGTGGCGTTGTCAAGCATTCCGAGGAAAGATACCCATTTCTCCACATTTGTTACCTGTTTGTCCAGCCAGATTGTCAGTCTCTTCAGACTATTAGTTTAATAAAAACATTCTTTCCCTGGTGGAACATGTCCTGGATTGAGAGATCTTTTCTTGAGATAGCTCCATTTCCCCATAACCCTTCAGTCTCCTTTCTGGCCAGAGGACTTGAGGCATTTACTTGAAAATCTATCATTTCTAATTTATCCACGTAGAACATTCTATGATGAAAGGAGATTTTTTTTTTTTCATGTCACATGACACTAAACTTCCAGTGCCTACCCAAGCCCTGGCACATACTTGATACTCAATGACCTATCACACTATCGGACACATGATGTGGCACACATATATTTTGCTTTCTAAATTTGGAATCTCCAATAAACACTCCAGTTTTTGTCTTGGACACACAGAAACATAAGTTTAATATTTTTTTTAATCTAGGTTACTAAACTAGAACCAAGCAATTCATAGAAGATATACTGGGGCCAATTGTTGAATGAGACTGTACAGAAGATATACACCCTGTCCTATCTTTTGACTTAAAGTAAATCATCTAAAATTACTAGATATTTGTTTCAAATAGAAGAATCTAACAATCATAAAATGCTATAGTAATGTTTAATGATCTCACAAAAGGGCTATTTAAAAAGACTTAATTTAAGAGGGATTCAGATATATGCTCTATAGTGGACTGTGACCTCTCTCTCCCTCTGACCCTGATTATTACTCTCTTGAGAGAGAAAATCCAAAGGATGTCACCTTTTGCTCCAGAATCATGAGAAAGTGGTAGGGCAGGTATGATTTCCATTTCCACTTTCAAAGTATACCTATACTTCTTTTAGCACAGTTACATCATGAACAGGAGATAAATGACCACATTGGACCAACAAGGTCTTGCTTTTTTTTCCTTCTTTTAAATTCTGAGAGTGTTTAGATGAGTCCAATTCTGTGGATAAGAAAAAATTGCAATAGATTCTGTGTTTTTATTGATACTAGTTTTCATTTTCTAAGATGTTTTACATAGGTCCTCACAGCCCAAAAAGTTGATATAGACTGAAATTTTGTTTTAATAACTAGATTATTGCTAAAGATCTCCATCTGTATCTTTTCCCAGAAAGCTAATTTCTTTTGGGCTTAGCCTTAAATGCATACCTTACAGACAAACAAGATATCTGAATGTCACTTTCACTCTTTTTCTGAGGTTATCTTAAAGCAGACATTAATTCTTGAAAATTATTGAAATAACTATGTGTTTAAGGCTAAGTCAGTGTGGACATTATTTTTCATGACTGTTATCTTTTAAAAAGAAATATTCTAATTCCAAAGTGATTCACCCATTTGTGTGGTGCCATTATGAGAGGAATTAAATTGTATCTATGTCTAACTTTTAAAAATGAAAACTACTTTGTGTAAATAGCAAATAGGAATTTTGAAAAGTATTCAATATAAAAGCAATGTATATGAGCATCAGAAGTGACCTAATAATGATTTAAAGAATCAAAAATGAATTCTGGCTGACACAAAGAGTTCAAGTAATTGAAGATAGTTATATAAACAATTTTAAATGCCTCAACTGGTCAGCCATAGGTCCATGGATGATGATAAACAGTCCAAGATCTGATATTTTCATGTAACAAACAACCTCTACCAAACATGCTTAAATAGATTCGTCAGGGGATATCATGGTGCAGTGGACACACACATACAACACAAGCATTTCTTTACAGAATGAGCCATTCATTTCAATTTGTGAAGTTCATAAAAGAAAGAAACAAATTTTTTTTATTTTGATCTTGCATAGAAATGGTGAGGAAACAATGTATCTTTTTTTCTCTGAAGATAAGAAGAACTGCTGAGAAATCATTAAAACCTTGGAAACATTCAAAATCCACAGGGCAAACCTCCAGATTCCTAGAGATTCAAAAAGGCATGCTTGTCAATATTACAAGTGAAGCCAATGTTGAGTTTTTAAAATGTCAATGTCATTGACTCTCTGAACTTGTGTGATGAGTTCTGCATGAGCAATGAAGTTTTATTTAAATTCTAAAGTACTGTAAAGATTTTGTGTAATCACAAAGATCTAGCTAATATCTGTGATTGACTACATTAGCTCAGCAATTTTCTGGTCCACACAACAACCATACCCTTGATACACTTGAAACTAACCTGTCATATTTTGATCAAACTCTCTCTGCCAATTCATTTCACCAACGTATCTAAATGAGATTTACTGATATATGTGTACAAACACACACACACACACACACACACACACACACACACACACACCATAAACACCTCACACCATCCTCAAAGAATCACAAATGAAGATGCTCAAAAATATGATTGATAAAGGCCAAGTCCATATGATAAAGTTAAGAAACATATATATTATCGTTAGAATATTATGAAGAGAAGTGTATGCTTTCTAAACTGAATATTTTGACAAGGACACGATGTCTATATGTTTAAAAATTAATCAGTTTTATTATTAGGATTTTAGCTTTATTGTGTGTGGGGAGTGTCAGATTTTGGTAGATGGACACAATTCTAGTCCTTCAGATACATGAGACAAGTCTAGGGGGGAAAACAGAGCTACAGTGCTACTCCTTTCTTTAGGAAAAAAAAAAAAATCTGACTTTTGTCAGGTAAGCTGCTTGGCAAATAGTAAGTTTAATTCCTAACACCCACATGAGGCACAAGAATAGTTGGATTAACAACTCCAGTGTCATGCTGTCAGCTGCTGTTTATTTAAATTAAAATGTCACCATCCAGAAATAAATTAGGAAGTTGAAAAATGATAAATTTCTTAAACATACAGTACTTTGGCACCTTGTTAAAATAAATCTATTACATAGAACTTTACATAGGCTCTTTCCATTTTGACATTCAGAGTATAGCAGGCTTTTGTTTTTATTCTTCTTTCTTGATTAAACTCTTCCCCTTTTTCCCCTCCCTCCCTTTCCCTCTTCCTCCTTTTCTCCCTCCCCCTCCCTCCTTCCTTCCTTCCTTTATCCTTTCCTTTCTGTCTTTCCAATTTTTCATTGGTTTTTCTTTTTTTTTCTGTCTTCATGGTCCCTATCTATGCTACAGAGGCAGGTTAAAAATAAATAAATAAAAGTTCCCTCAATACACAATTATTAAGTGCTTTACATGCATGTCTAAAAACTATTGCTCATCTTAGGCAGACCTAAGTATAACTACATTTGTACAGATTTCAATGTTCACTTCCTACAACTTCCACTTTTCTTCTTGGGGTCCACTATTGTGTGCTATTCATGTTTGATAAAACAAAAGTGGCCTCCCCATGAGCTCTTCACTGGCTTCCTGTCATTTGAAGGTTAAGATGAAAACTTGATCACTCCAAGAAAAAAAAAAAAACATATCCCAGTGTATTTTAAGAGTGATTTGGCTCTAGGTTCATGGCACAGCAGGTTGTTCCACTTTTAGGAGCCAATTTGGTGTAAGTAGGAAGAGAATTAACATCTCAAGAAGAAAAATATCCCTTTTCTGTTCCCATTTGAATGTGTTTCTTGCCTGTGACTTCATAGATCATAAATGATGCAAATGCACACTATAATGCAGGTTAATTAAATATGAGACAGTTGTATACAAACATATTCAGCATTAACAACATGGAGATATTTACTTGGCCGGGTTTTCCATTTTCACATAAAAATGCCTCATATTCGGATGCGAATTCAGGGGCGTTGTCATTGACATCCAGCACTTTAATAGCAACAGGTACTCGTGATATCTGACTGTGGTTCCCTATGGGAAGGAAAAGATAACATCAGCATGGATGGTATTTCATTTGAACGTGCAACTCAACTTTCTCTGTTCTGTGTCTATTTCCACTTCCCTTAATTAGGCTTTTTTGCAACATGATGATTATGGAGTCTGACCACTCAATAAAGAAACATAGTAAGTGCTTGACTACTTAGAAAAATTAAAAAAAAAAAAAAACATAAATTTTTATTTCAAACACCATTTGATGGAGCATAGCTTGAAAATAAAAGAACATCTGAATGAATTTAAAAGAGGTTTCCTTGATAAATCAAGCTTTATTTTATTGATAAAGCCCATTATTTAATAGAAAAATGTTGTATGCCACAAAGATTTATCTTTGTCTTGGGGAGAACACAACCCATTATGAGCGATTACTTCTTGTTTTGGCTGTACATATATTAGAGATGAACCCTGAAAACCTCGCATAAGGCCAGAATAAAATCACTTGTTGAGAAGAGGTCCTTAACAATTATAAAATGGATAAAATTAAAGATGGGGAATTACATACTTTGTTGATTTTTTTTTTTACTTCATTAGAATGACATTGGGATATTTTGAGGTAGGACCAGCCCAAGTTATTTTAATATTGTCATTTTTTATAAAGAATGTAATCAGTATAAAGAAATAATATTGTTCTTCTGATTTTCCCAGATGAATACTCAATTCCTTAATCTGTAAGTCTTTTGATTTAAGAAATCATGTGTATACAAACATGCACACATACACATGCATACACACATAAATTTATACACACTCAGATCTGGTCCGTTAATAAATTGCTAACTTGCACCAACTTATGATTTTTCACTTATAATAAATGCAACATAGTTTGACTCTGGCTGTACCATGTAATAATCTTTTGATCTGTTGTAAATTATACAGAATGCATTGGAGATGGCCAATTATTTATTTGTGCTTCTGTGGCATTGAATATTTATAAGCAAGTCAAGAGGGGAAAATGTTTGGCTTTTGAATATTAACCAACAGGCTTGCATTTGATGCATCAAACTTCTTTTGACAATTGACTAGGTTCAGATCACTACAACCTTTACATAATTTTTTTTAAATATAATAGAAGCTTCTAAAGTACACACCAAATCATCATATTCATGCCACAATTTTACAGCTGATTAACCCCACTAGTTATAAATCAAGATTTGATTCAGTTAATTCCCACGGCTGCTCTCAAAGGTTCTAATTTGCACTGAATACTGTAGTCCATGGAATCCTGCCACTTTAGTAATGGCTCATATCATCAGTTCCTGAAAAATCAAGGTGATGGCATCAAATGTCTCAAGTGTTACTACCCATTTCTTTTGATGTTTTTTTTGTCTTGATGAATTAATTTCATTCTTTACTCAGGGAGGAAGCACACACCTCCTTAATTTTGATATAATGAAAAGTCTGATAAAAATATAATGTATGTCTCTCTAAGATAAGTAACTAACATTTTATTCTTTATTTACTCAACAAAACCTTGCCAAGTTTACATTTTAAATACAACATGATTTTGTATTTAAAGATTTATATCCCCTTTCTATCGTGACCATGAGCTTAATAGAAGCTCCTTGGAAGAAAACAAGTAATGTTTGCAAAAAATAAAAGAAGTTTGGCATTCTATCATTGCTTCCTACTATCTCCAGGATCTTATGAATATTATGTCACCAAATTTTATTCTCAAGGAAACTGAAGTCCAATCACTTAACTCTTTATTTACGGATTGCAAATACTGTATGTGAAGAAAATAAAAGTGCTCACATAATATTGGACAAATCCAAGACATTCTAGGCCTCTCCTACTGTTGTTGTCAATATCAAGAGCACCATTAACATCAAGTGTGTATGTGAGGCAAAATAATTCACATAATCCTATCTCATTCATTCCTCACAAAATAGATATGAAGTAAGTAATGCAATCCCCATATTTTAGATGCAGAAATCAACACTTTCCAATATTATATAACTTCATCAAAGCTGCTCAGTTAAATCCTAACTCAAATGCAATTTTGGCCGTCTAAACATGAGCCAATTTCATAGGACAATATGAATGACAGCCTTATAAAACACACACACACACACACACACACACACACACACACACACATATATATATATATATATATATATACATGAATACAATCAGGTAACTAATTGCTATCATTTCATTAAATATTTTTAGCTTTGTTAGAAATACTTATCTCAAGTTTGACCAGAATTTGAAGTTTGAATACAAATAGCAGGATGAGTGTATCTAATGAATTGAATCACCACTAATATTATCAGTATTGCATTCATAATTTGCAACCTCCCTGAAGAACTACAGTTAAACTTCCATAATTCTTCTTATGCAACTATTTCAGCCCAGCAAAATTGTTTTAACTGATTACCTTTATTTTGTGATTCTCCGTGTGAAAACCCAAAGACTGTTGGCTGTTCATTTATTTCTACAATATGAAATCTTTCCATTTCATATGTTATACCAACTCACATATATATAAATAGCTATAGAAGCCTTCTGTAAATACTTTTGTTTAGTTTAACCATTCCATTAATAATTATCCAACCATCAAGATAGATTGAATAAGTTATAAAGAACAGAGAGCAAATAATCGGCATATACTCTTCGAAAATATAAGGTTCAAGGAAAAGCTAGCCTGATCTTAAACATTATTTTATTTCTTCTGAAGTGAAGAAAATGTTATTAATCTCATTGAGTTAAAGTCAATGATCATGGTTGATAGGACATTAAGATGTTATTCTTTGTCCTCCCTCTCTGTCATGTTGCGCACACACATGTGCGCACACATATGTAAAATTTCAGTAAAAAGACAATTATATCAAGGAGCAGGTTCTAATTCTCCCTTCTCTTTTTTTGTCTTTCACAGTTGCAATACATTTTAGGATCTCAGGCCTAGATGAACAACAGGGTCTGAATTTCAAGTATAAAATATAGAAAAGTGGGCTGGGGTTGTAGCTCAAGGGTAGAGCACTTGCCTAGCATGTGTGAGGCACTGGGTTGATTTTCAGCACCACGTAAAAATAGATAAAACAAAGGTCCATTGACAACTAAAAAATAAATATATTTAAAGAAGATAAAAGTTCCATGAGCTAATTTTGGGATAATTTTAAACATAAATTATGCATCTTTTCTCATAGTGCTATTGGGGATACAGTGTCATTTATCTATTCCAGGAGCTCAGAGTAAAATATCACCATTTTTTCTTTTTTGGTAGAAGCATGGTAAGATTGGGTGTTATCTTCTAACTCTTTGGATGATCATAGATGGCCAAGAATGTTTTGTCAATGAGTGATATATTCCATTATTCTTATCACATCTACAAATAATTGCTTTTAATATAAATAGCAATAGGCATTTTGAAAATTATTTATTTTTTTTCTTTAGTTTGGCCTATGGAAAGCTCAGAATTAAATTTAAATACACCTTTCATAGCTGTAAAGAATTCAATGGTATGCAATTAATATGCTACATTTAACCCAAATTTGTTAATTTGGTGCACTTAATAATTGCTCAAATTTATTAAGTTAATGAATTAATACTGAATTAGTATCTTTTTATTTATTTGCATTGTATTTATTTATTTATTTATTTATTTATTTATTTTTTGCCATCCTGAGGATAGCACACAGGATCACAACATGCTAGTAGACCGGTGCTCTACCACTGAGATACATCCCCAGTAGTGTTTCTTTTCCATTCAGTATTTTAGAGTATTTTCCTTAAAACTTTAGAAAAGAAACTCTGAACTGTTTTCACTGCCCTATGACGTCACATGGTAATAAAGTATTATCAGATATTTGGAATTTTTGTATCCTTGGTTGTCATGTAAAAGAAATCTGGCAGTTCAACAATTAAAAAAAATTAATAATTTCCTCTTCTAATTATTGAATTCCTTGTGTAAGGGAGACCCTTTAAAATAAAGGCAAATTTTTAGTAACTTCTCTTCTACATACAGAGCTTACTCCTGCTAAAAATGGCCACTACCTTCTGGTCAAGTCCAACATCAAGGAAATGAAATGGAATTTATTCAGACCAGCATAGTCTGGCTAAATCTACATAGGTGTATATCCTGCCTTCATCCCTCTGCATCCCACCTTCTCTTATATAAGCTGTTTCTATCCCCTGAGCCCTTGCAAAGATGAATGTTTGAGACAGAAAAGTTATACTCTATCGTCCTCAGGGTCTGTTTTGAATAAGACAAGTTTTCCTTCACCAACCTGTCTCCAGATCTTTGGTGAATCAAGAGTAGTAGAACCTTTGATTCCCAGCAACAATTGTTACCCCTCAAGATTTAGCTGATACTACATTTCTTCCAAGAAGGCTTTTTAACACATAATTCACTTTTATTTGTCTTTGTTTGAATCACTGTTTTTTCTTTTCTTTTCTTTTCTTTTTTTTTTTTAATTTTGTTTTGTTTTGGTTTTGGACTGGGGATTGAATTCAGGGGCACTCAACCACTGAGCCACATCCCCAGTCCTATTTTGTATTTTATTTAGAGACAGGCTCTTACTGAGTTGCTTAGGACCTTGCTGAGTTTCTGAGGCAGGCTTTGAACTCACTATCCTCCTGCCTCAGCCTCCCAAGCCTCTAGGATTACAGGAGTATACCACCGCAACTGGCTTTGTTTTGGTTTTGTTTGTTTAGACTTAGGACATGACAATAGGAGAAAGTCCACAAACCCAGTCCCTGAAAGAACTGGTGAAAAACATTTTAAGAAATGTAGAGTCTCTTGAAAATGTCTTAAGTGCACAGCAAGTAAAACAAAGTTTATTTTAAAAAATATACTAAATGTAAGGGAGTCTGTGGTATATGAACCAGATGTTTAGTCCTTCCACAGTCACTGTTAACCAAGATGGGAAAATCACTGCAGACCAGTACACCAAGCACAAACTGCACCTCCTCCCCCCAGGCTTTAGCTGCAGGGCTATCTACCCATAGGGGTAGGATGTTATCATTTCTAAATT